GTATGGTATATATATATAAAATAAATATCCTGGACTTTATCATCAGAAAGTGTATGATTTTACTGGCATTTTGTAAGACACTCTGTTTCTGGATTCTTAGATTTTCACCATATCTCCTTTTCTCACATTGCTCCCATGGAGTTTCCACCAAATTTCAGCTCTGATCAGTTCCACTGTTGACAAACTCAGTTATCCTAAATCAAGGATAATTCAGCATTTTATGATAACCCATTCGTATTCAACAAATATGTTTTCAGGACTTTATAAAATATCTGCTTTGCTGATACCATGTCTAGATACTTTTCCTTTTCCCACATAACTTCTATCCTGTCTTGGTGCTTTTGACAGTCCTCGCTTACACACTTGAGTTGGTAGATTATTTGTTGCAAAGGCTTACAAACATGGGATTTGTAAGATTTTGTTTTTATTCATATCCTTGTGGTTTTATGTGTTTCGTAAAAGGAGAAGAGGAAGAATAAGAAGTATGCCACTTCAGTATTCACATCAGAATCTTCTAAGTCATATTCTTATTCATACCAATTAAGAAATTTCCTCTTGAGGGGATTCTGGGAAGATGGCCGACTGGTAGCAACCCTGGTCAGAGGCTCCTGAGCAGAGGAAGAAAAACTGGTTGGAATCAGAATCTATGAAGCCAAAGACGGGGAGTTGAGCCCAGAAAGAAGTTCAGCAAGCTATAAATCCAAGGAAGATCATTTAAGAACATAAATACAGGTACAAAGCGGGCCCGAGAACTGCTTACTAGACCCGCCCCCCTCCCGCGGGTGGGAGGCAGCTGCAGAGAAGCCCCCTGCTCCGGGCAGCCACAGAAGTACTTGCTAGAGCTTAACGCACCCCTGCCAGTGGCGGCGGACCTGGCCCCCCAACTCTGGGAAGGCCTAGAACTGCTTGCTAGAGCCGTGTGCTCCACGGGCAGCAGAGTAGATCCCTGCTCCAGGGCTCTGGGCAGGAGCAAAACTGCTTGCTAAAGCCACACAACTCCTGCTGGTGGCAGGTGGCAGCAGAGGACTTCCCACTGCTCTAGGCAGGCACAGAATCACTTGCTAGAGCCCCACACACCCCTACAGGTAGCAGCGGACCAGTCCCCCACCCTGGGAGGGCCCAGAACTGCTTGCTACAGCCGCACACCCCACGGGCGGCAGAGTAGATCCTTGTTCCAGGGCTCTGGGTGGGCATAGAACTGCTTGCTAGCACACCTCCCGCAGGCCGCGGGTGCACACAGAGGATTTCCCCTGCTCTGGGTAGGCACAGAACTACTTGAGAGAGCCTCGTACACCCCGCAGGCAGTGGCAGAGGAATCCCCCACACTGAGAGGACCCAAAACTGCTTGCTAGAGCCATGCACCCCACAGGCAGCCAAGGAGATCTCCGCTCCAGGGCTCTGGGTGGGCCCAGAACTGCTTGCTAGTGCCACGGGTATCCTACGGGCAGTGGCGGAGGAGTCCTCCGTTCCAGGCAGACACCAAACAGCCTCCTAAAGACACGCACACCCCACGGGGGCCAGCAGAGGAGTTCCTTGCTCTAGTCACCTGTGCTAGGTGGGCCCAGAATTGCTTGCTAGAGCCATGCGTGCCTTGCAGGAGGCGGTGGAGGAGTCTAGCGCTCTGGGCGGGCCAAGAACTATTTATTAGAGCCACGTGTGTCCCACAGACGGAGGTGGAGGAGTTCCCCACTCTGGCTCCCAGGCTGGGAGGGAATAGATCAGCTTGCTAGTGCCGCACACGTCCAACAGGCCACGGTGAAGGAGTCTTCCACTCCCCCCAGCTACCCTGGTGGGGCCAAAATAAGACTGATCTGATCGCTTGCGTACCCTACACTACCGCTGCCATTCTCCCACCCCCCGACTGCTCCAGGGTGCTGAACTAGGACTGATCCGGCTACTGCTGGTCTCCTGTCCACTGCTTGCCCCAGTAGGCTAAATGAGGTCTAATCCGGCCACGCACACTCCTGTGCAGCTGCTGCCGTTCCACTGTACCCCATTTGCCCCAGCATGTGAGAACTGGAAGTAGACAACAGGCATGCTCTGCCTCTCTCTCACTGGGCAACCAGAAGAAGCCACCAACTGAACAGTTCTGATAATGCCTCCAAACACGGTAAACTCAGAATGGGGCGGAATCAGCGGAAAAACTCTGGCAACTGGAATAACCAGAATAGATCAACTCCCCCAAGGAAAAATGGGGCAGACGTAATTGAAGACCCCATCCACAAGCAAATGGCTGAAATGTCAGAAATCGAGTTCAGAACGTGGATAGCAAATAAGATTAACAGAATGCAAGAACAGAAGGAAGAAGAAGTTCAAGAAATGATTCAAAAGATCTCTCAAGAAGTTATTCAAAACATCTCTCAAGAAATTACCCAAAAGATATCTTAAGAAGTCATTCAAAAGATATATCAAGAACTCAACAATTTCAAAGATAAAATAATCAAAGATTTTGAAACACTGAGACAAGAGGTTGCAGCCC